CATCCACATGCTGACGAGTCCTAACAGGCCTCCTTTGCCAGCGACAAAAATAACTATTTTCAAAATTCACAGCAGGGCTTTCGCCTACACACGCAGCACCGACTGGAATCTGAAGGGAGATCTGCGGAACGCATTGTGCGGAGTGGAGGCGCGCTATGCAGCAGGCAGGCTTTTAAACCCCCACGCCCTTCCTCCCCTCCACTCAGCCCAGGCCCCCCCCCCCACACACACACATACCAGGGCTCCCAGGATGGCCAAATAGGAAGAGCTCCTAGATCATCCGCTGTCCACAGGGGGACACTGAGGCCCAGAGATGCCCAGTGATTTGCCTGAAGTCACACAGCTGCCCCAGTCAGAGGCAGTCAGAATGACAGTCCAGAACTCCTGGTTCCCTTACCTGCTCTGCCCTCCCTCTTCCTGGCATCATCAGTCTTTGCCTTGTGCCAAGGTAGCCAGTAAGTACCTGTCTATGGCAGGACTGGACTTAAACCCATCCAGCCTGCCCATCCCTTTCCTGCTCACTTGGTCAGGCCAGCCCCCAGCACCCAGCACCCACATACACACGCACATCCACCCGTGTACACAGATAGAGCATAGCAACCTTGCTTTATGTTCTGGCATTTTATCAAGTTCACAGGCTCCTCTACAACCCTTCCCTCGGCCAGTCCTCAACAGCCCTGTGAGCCAGGGTTAGTATCCCCATTCGCAGAAAGGGAAATAGAGGGGAAGGGCTCTGCCCCTGGTCCAAGCAGAACTCGGGGGTCCGGATTGTTCATTTCTACCACCCTTGGTCCTGCAGAGGCTAGCAGTTGAACCAATTTCTCCAGACTCAGAGAAGGAGAAAGGAGAGCTCTCTACCACTGTCCCTACCACCAGTCTGGTCTCAGGACTGGCCTAGGTCATATGGAGACCCAACAAGGTCACCTTCTCCCTGATTCCTGCACCTCTGCCCTCAGGGGGTCCCTTCAAAGAGCAACCGGACAGCCCATTCCCAGACTGGGGTCTCTTCACATCACCCCTTCCCCAGGTCTGGAGTTGCCTCACCCAAGCAGCACTACAGAGTTCAAGGTTCAAGGATCAGGCCATAAATGAGCCAGGAAGTGGTGAGGTCAGGCAGGAACTCTAGCACGGTTTGGGGCACAAGGCCCAGCACCACGACAGTCATCAGAGCTCATTTTACAAGTGAGGAAACTGAGGCTCAGGGAGCTTGTTCAGGGTACCAAGGGTCACACAGCATGTCAGTGGAGAGGCAGGGCATCTCTACCCTGGGGTCAGCTGAGTTCTCTACCCTGTTTAACTGAGGAGTTCTAAGCCCTCATTTTCCTGGGCAGACTAGGCTTGACCTCAGGCTACTCCCTGAGGAGGAGCAGGGCCAGGTTTGAGTAGGGAAGCACATGTGAGGAGACAGAGCCCACTCCCCCAGTCAGATCCGGTGTGACATCAGTCTGGTATTGAGTTTTCGGAAAAAGGATCTCAGCTTGCAAATCTTACACTTTTTCTTGCGGCGACCCCGGGAGTAGCCCCGAGCCCTGCCTTCCTCTTCTTCTTCCTCTTCCTCCTCATCACTGGCCCAGGGTCCCCAAGCACCCCCATTAAAGTCAGGGTGGGCCCGGGGGTTCTCTGCCGGGTAGCGCACAGGAATGGCCGTGCGGTTATAGTCCACCAGACGGGCCAGCAGGGCTCGGACCACGTCAGGCCTCTGGTCAGCCAGGTCCTCCCGCTCATAGGGGTCGGCGCTGATGTTGAAGAGCCACACAGCCTGGCGGACACTGGCCATCCGCTCCAAGTTCCACCAACTGCCAGGGAAGTTGGTTAGTGTCTGTGGTGGGATCCAGTCACCATATCCGGGGTCTCCCGTCAGCAGTTTCCACTCACCTACACGGATGGCGGCCTGCACGGCTGTGTTCCAAATACCAAAGCCATCCTCCAGTGAGCCATGCCGGGCATGGTTGTAGAGAGGATCGATGTTGTGCAGAATCTCCGTGCGTGGTGAGGCCCGGCCCTCACTGATGGCTGCCCACACGTCATAGCCATCTAGCCTGTCGGCCACTGAGGTGGCACCACCTGCCAGACCCACCAGAGTCGGATACCAGTCGGTGATGTGCACCAGTGCCCGGCTTGTCCTTCGCTTTCGCTTGAGCAGAGGGCTGTGGACAAAACCGAGACCTCGAATACCACCTTCCCAGTAAGTGCCCTTGCGTCCTCGGAGCGGCCAGTTGCTGCCCCCTGAGAAAGTCTGGCCGCCGTTGTCACTGGAGAAGATGATGATGCTGTTGTTGTAGAAGCCATAGCGCTTGAGGGCCCAGGTGATATTGCGTACCGCCTCATCCATGCAGGTCACCATGGCTGCATACTTCCGCCGGGCCACATTGCCCATGGTGCGGTAGCGGTACAGGTATTCTCGTGGGGACTGCAGAGGTGTGTGTACTGCCTGGAAGGCCAGGTAGAGGAAGAGGGGTCTCCGGGGACTGTGGCTGGCCAGGATGTGGCTGGCACGCTGGGCATAGAGCATAGTGGAGTACTGACCACTGAGCCCCCAGGCCACGCTCTCACCCTCGTGTAAGTCAAAGCCACACACCCCTGGGCCATCACAGTTATCATAGGTGTAGTAGTCCACATTGCCCGTGAGCGAGCCCAGGAAGGTGTCGAAGCCCCGGCGGGTGGGCAGGCACTCCTTCCGGTAGAAGCCAAGGTGCCATTTGCCCACCATGTGGGTGGAGTAACCTGCTTCCTGTAGCTTCTGAGGCAGTGTTGCCTGGTCCAGGGGCAGGCAGTTAGGTTGCCTTGGGCGGATGATGGAGTGCTGGAGTCCTGTGTGGATCTGGTACCTGGGGGAAGAGTGAAGGGCACAGAAGGCACAGGTGAGCTACAGACCACACACTACAATTTTGAGGGGATTCTGATCCTAACACTACCAACAAAAATCATCATGGTAACCAAATCTAACATGCTAAGGGCTTTACATGTGTTGTCTCACTGAATGCTCAATATCAATGAAAGTGGATATTACTATCACTCCTAGTTTGCAGGTGCAGCGATTGAAGCTCAGAATGGTTAAACCACTGGCACAGGATCACATGACTAGAAAGTTGGGGAGTTACAAGCTGTACCCAACAACAATAACAATGAACACCAAGCACTTACTGTGGGCTAAACATTGTGCTGATATAAAGTATCTCCCTAAATACTCACCATAGCTTAGGAGGTATGGTGGTGGTAGTGGTGGTGGTGGTAATGTGCCATGGAGTCAGTTCCAACTTATAGTGACCCTGTGAAGGGTTTCCAAGGCTGTAAAACTTTATAAATACAGACAGCCTTATTTATCTCCGGCATAGCGGCTGGTAGGTTTGAACTGCTGACCCTGCAGTTACCAGCCCAACTAATAACCCATTATGCTACCAGAACTCCTTCCTAAGAAGTATCTATCCTTATTATTTCCAACTCCCAAATAAGAAAACAAAGGCATGGAAAGTTGCATCATTTGCCCACGAATTTATACAGCTAGTAGTTGGAGTTGGGATTTGTATTCCAGGTAGTTTGGCTCCAGACCTCAGAGTGTCTAGGCTCTACTCCCACCACCAAAATGTCAGCTTGAGGACTAAGGTGTGCCTGACCCAAGCCATGGTATTTTCGATAACTTCATATGCATGCAAAAGCTGTACAGTGAATAAGGAAGACCGTAGAAGAATTGATGCTTTTGAGTTATGGTGTTACAGGAGAATATTGAAAGTGCCATGGGCTGCCAAAAGAACCAATAAATCTGTGTTGGAAGAAGTGCAGCCAGAGTGCTCCTCGGAGGCCAAGATGGCCAAACTTCATCTCTCATACTTCGGACATATTGTCAGAAGGGACCAGTCGCTGGAGAAGGATATCATGTTTGGTAAGGTGGAGGGTCAGAGAAAAAGAGGAAGACCCCCCCACCGAGATAGATGGGCCAAGTGGCAGCATCGATGGACTCAAGCATGACAACAGTAGTGAGGTTGGCCCAGGATTGGGCAGTGTTCCGTTCTGCTGTGCATAAAGTCGCTATGAGTCAGTACTGACTCGATGGCACCTAACAACAACAACAACACTCCCACCACTAGCTTAGGATAAGATCTAGAGCAAGTTCTGCTCTCCCTGGCAAACTCCTACTGAGTTTTCAAAGCCCAGCCGGAATGTTACCCTGCTGTAAAGTCTCCCACAATTCTCCCAAGGAATGCATTGTTTTTGCTCTTGTGTACCCCCAAATTTATTACTCAACGTCACTGTTACAAAGGACCCTTGGTGGGGCAGTGTAAACCCATAAATCTGCTGGAGGGAGAAAGATGTAGTAGTCTGTTGTTTTTTTGTTTTTGCTTTTGTTGGTCTGCTTTTGTAAAGATCACACCCTTGGTAACTCCATGGGGGCAGTTCTACTCTGTTTTATAAGGTTGTTATGAGTCAAAATTAACTTGACAGCAATAGGTTCTGGGTTTACCTGGTTCTAAAGGAGCCCTGATGGCACAGTGATACATGCTTAGCTGCTAACCCAAAGAGTTTGAAGCCACCAGCAGCTCTGCAGGAGAGAAGACCTGGCCATTTGTTCCATAAAGATTACAGCCTAAAAAACCCTATGGGGCTGTTCTACTCTGTCCTATTGGGTTGCCATGAGTCAGAATCTACTCGAGGATACACAATAACAATATCATTTTTCTATGTGGCCATGGAATATTATTCAGTTGTATGTGGATCCTTGTGTCCACTCATATGTCATGGAACTATCCCTCAAAAGGAGCCCAAGTCACTCCTTCCTATCAAGAAGCTGAGGTCCAGCGGAGAGGAAGGTCTTGCTCAAGATCACTCAATGGTCAGAGGCAGAGCCAAGACTTGAAATAAAACCAGGCAAAGTCCAAACAGAGACCCTTTTCCAGAAAACGAGGTTTCTTCTCTTCCTTTGTGAGGTAAGGGGGTGCCAGATTGCTTGTGTTTGGAAGATTTGTTGGAATGGGAGATCTTTATGTTTCTTCTAGTTCCCAGGTTTGAGACTGGCTTCTATGTACCCACCCATGAGTTCATGCAACTCTTTCTTATAGACTGAATTCTGTCCCCTCAAATTATATGTTGTAAATCTTAACTGTTCTGTCTTTGGTTGTAATCCCACTTGAGAATGGGTTGTCTTATTTATATTAATGAGACAGGATTGGAGTAGGGTATCTTGAAAATCTCTTTTGAGATATGTTGTTGTTGTTGTTAAGTGCCATCCAATCAGTTCCAACCCATAGCAACCCTGGTTTGAAATATCAAAGAGATTAAACAAGTAAGCAGAAGAGAAATGGGGTAGGATACATGCCATGCCACCTGGAGGTCTCCAAAGAACCAGGAAGCAGAAGTTGAAGAAGCAAGGAACTTCTTCCAAAGCTAACAGACCCAGCAATCTGGATTCAAACTTCTAGCCTCCTAAATTTTGAGAAAAAAAGATTTCTGATGGTTAAAGCCATCCAAATGTGGTATTTCTGTTAGAGTGAATGAAAACCAAATCCATTGCCATTGAGTTTCTAAAACTGTATATCTTGAAGGGAACAGGCAGCCTCATCTTTCTCCCTTGGAGTAGCTGGTGGGTTTGAACCACTGGCCTTGCAGTTAGCAGTCCAACATCTAACTCACAACACCTTTAAGTCACTCCTGGATCAGGCCTATACCTTGAGGCAGGAGCAAATGGTTAGCAGAATCCTGCTTTCCTCATTTACTCTTTCATATCCCTTCACCCTCTTTGGTCCAGGATTCCGGAGGGATCTGTACATGTTGTCTTGCCTTTGTTGTTGTCCTTAGGTGCCGTTGAGTAAGTTCTGGTTCATAACAACTTTATGCACAATAGAACAGCCCAGTCGTGCGCCAACCTCACAATCCTTAAACTTGAGCCCATTTTTGCTGCCACTGCACCATTCCATTTCATTGGGGATCTTTCTCATTTTCCGTGACCCTCTACTTTACCAAGCATGATGTCCTTCTCCAGGGACTGGTGCCTCTTGATAATATGTTCATAGTATGAAAGACAAAAATCTCGTCATCCTGGCTTGTAAGGAGCATTCTGGCTACTTCTTCCAATACCGATCTGTTTGTTCTTCTAGCAGTCAATTGTACTTTTAATATTCTTCTCCAACAGCATGATTCAACTGCATTGATTCTTCTATGGTCTGCCTTATTCATTGTTCAACTTTCACATGCATATGGGGTTATTGGAAATACCATGGCTTTGGTCAGGTACACCTTAGTCCTCAAACTGACATCTCTGCTCTTGAACACTTTAAAGAAGTCTTGTGAAGCAAATTTGCCTAATGCAATGTGTCTTACCTGTACTCAAGTCTTAAAAGTCTCAGAGTCAACAAGAAGCCTGGAACTTCACCAGTGTGTTGGAATCCTACACTTTTCTTCTCACCCCCAGGCATTAAAGTTTAGCCAAGACAGAATGCCTGATACCTTTCACAGGGGCACTAAGATGGGTTTCTTGGTTTTGATTTTCTTATTCTAAAGGTACTTTTGTTGTTAACTATTATTAGTGACTACTGCCATTTTTAAGGAGCTCTGGTAGCGTAGTGGTTACCAATCGGGCTACGAACCACAAGGTCAGCAGTTCAAAACTACCAGCTGCTCTGCGGGAGAAAGAGGAGGCTTTCTGCTCCCGTAAAGATTTACAGCCTCGGAAACCCTGTTCAGGGTCGCTATGGGTTGGAACCGACTCGACGGCACTGAACAACAACAACTGCCATTTTTAAGGAAGCCTGTGGCACACTGGTTAAAGTGCTCAGCTTCTAATTAGTGGTTCAAACCCACCAGCCATACCAAGGGAAAGAGATGTGGCAGTTTGCTTCCATAAAGATTGTTTTTGCTGTTGTTAAGTGCTGCTAGCAAAGCCATTTGAACTGCAAGGTTGGCGGTTCAAGCTCACTAGCCGCTCCTCAGAAACCCTACTCAGGGTTGCTATGAGTCGGAACCGACTCAATGGCCTACTTAACAACAACAACAAGTGCTACTAAGTGGGTTCTGACTTACAGGCAGCCCTACAGAGGGTTTCCGAGAAGTGACTACTGGGTCTGAATAGCCAACCCTATGGCTAGCAGTCTAGTGCTTATCCTACAGCACCACATCAGGGTTCAGTCTTGGAAACCCTAGGGGACAGTCTACAATGTCATAAGGTTACTATGAATTAAAATTCATTAGACAGCAGTGGGTAGCTTGCTGCCATTTTTAACACTAAGAGTGTGTTACACACTTTTTTCTCATTTAATCCTCATGAAAACCTACAGGGAAGATGTACTATTATTCCCATTCTATAACTGGAGTCAACTCAATAGCAACTGGTTTTAAAGATGAAGAAACAGCATTTCTCCAAACTGCAGCAACTGGTCCAAGGTCCGACAGTGTCCATCCATGGAGCTGACATTCGAACCCAGGTTGACCTAACTCATGCTCAAAATCTCTTGGTGATATGGCCTATCCTAGTCCTGTGGTTGTTGTTAAGCACCATCAAGTTGGTTCTGACTCATAACAATCCCGTATAGGGTTCCCAAGAAGCAGCTGGTGGGTTTGAACCACCGACCTTGTGGCTAGCCATGCAGTGTTTATCCTACAGTGCCACACTAGGACTCCCTCCAGGGATTAGTCAAGCTAATAAATGACTGGACTTGACACCAGAGAACCCTGAGTTCTAGCCGAAACTCTCTTCCTAAGGATGAGATTGTGGAACACTGAGCGGGATCATGAGGCAGGTCAGCTGAGAGTCACCAGAGCGCAACTGCAAGTGAGTAACCTGAGAAACTCTGGCTCTCTCCAGCTTCCACCAACACCACTGAATGCGTTAACAATCCCTAATGAGAGCAATAAGCTTCAGTCAAATAGAGCCAGCTGCAGGGGCCAAGGGCAGAATGCTGCCGGCCATGCTTAGCCAACTTCGAAGATCAGAAGGCTGGAGCGCTATCCTGCTGGCTGTTCTGCTCATTCCAAGGCTTAAACCAAAAGTCACCCCTTGGGAGAGAAGTGCTAACCTGTGTACTAAGGTTCTTCTGCCTCTTCTGGATTCACCAATGCTTGGTCTTCACCACCACCACCTCCATCCCCCATTCCCAACACTTTCACTCCCTCCCTCTCTTTCTCTTCCTTTTCTCCTGCTTGCTGGCTTTCTCTGATCTAAACACTGCATGCTAGATCTAAGGAAGTAAAGGCATCATGGACTTCCAGCTCCAGGACTCTTGTCAAGCACCGGCCTCAGCCTCCTAGAGACCCTCATGTTGGACATAGGCACTGAGTTGGGTCCTTCCTAATTCCCTGCCTCAGTTTCTCTCAGCCAGGAACAGGGAGAACAAGGCTCTGGTTTCTGAAATCACACTAGTGGCTATTAGGTGGAGCTTAGGAGAAAGCATGCCTTGGACTCCACCCAAGAAGGATTAGTTTCAGCCCTGCCAAAGGATTTTCTCCTAAGTGGCCAGAGTTTGTCTTGCACACCCCCACCCTGTTTCCCTGCTCCTTTAATCCTGTAATACTGCTGCCTTGCCAATGGACAACTCCTTGCAAAGAAAGCAGCATGTCTTCTTAGGGCTCCCAGCCAACTTGGAAGGATTTCAGATGAAAAAGCAAAGGCTCAGAGAAATGAAGTACTGTATTTTTACCCAAATAATGCAGGATATACAGTTTTTTGCAAATCTTACAGCCCCCTGAGCCCCCATGAGTTTCCTATGTACATTATAGTCCTGGGTGTGTTGTATTCGAAAATATGGTAACCAGTCCAGTGTTACATGGAACATGGCACCTTGTGTGTGTCTTTCTCTTCTACATAGCAATTCTCTGGTTTCTTTCTAATCTAGTCATTGTACAGTTTGGGGACCCTATTCCTCCTGGTTGGATAACTCTGGTGTGACGTTATAGGATCAGCATTAGACTTTGAACCAGAAGGTCAGCAGTTCAAACTCATCAGCTGCTCCTAGGAAACCCTATACAGGGTCTCTATGAGTCGAAACCCATTTGATGGCACTTAACAACAACAATAATCCTCCCAGTTATGTAAAAAATCCATTGCGGTTGAATCTATTTCAACTCATAGCAACCTAGTGGTATAGTTGTTGATGTTAAGTGTCATCAAATCAGTTATGACTCATAGCAACCCTGTATAGTATTTTGAGGCTGCCATGTTCCTTTAACAAAAAGAGATGGTCACATGTCTCCTTCACATTGTGTAATCCTAGAACATCAGAGCTGTAAGACCTCAAGGATGAGCAACCATTTAGTGCATAGGTAGGCAAACAGAGAGTCAATTCTGACTCATATAGGGTTTGGTGGTGGTGGTGGTGTTAAGTGCTGTCGAGTCTGTTCCTACTCATAGTGACCCTATACAAGGATTTGAAGAGTGGCTGGTGAGCTTAAACCACTGACCTTGCAGTTCAACCTGACCTTGAAGTTCAAACCAACCTTGCAGTCCAGCGTATTAACTAGGGTTTTACAAGACTGTAAATCTTTATAGCAGAAAGCCTCATTTTTCTCTTGCAGAGGCTGGTTGGTTTGAACCTTAGAGCTTTCAGTTAGCAGCTCTAAGTCTAACCCACAGCGCCACCAGGGTCCCTTTAGAAAGGACAAGGGACTTATTATGGATCATCCAGTCAAATGAAGGCAGATTTGGCCCTGCGTCTTGGTTTCCCAGGTCCCAGAAGCAGGGTTGTAGGTGCAGGGGATATCTACCAATCGTGCTCAGTTGGGCTTAGCTTGAATGTCCACTGCCCGCGGCGGTGGCCATCCGTCCCTACCTGCCAGTTAGGAGTTGGCTCCGCGAAGGCGTGCAGATAGGCTGGATGTAATAATTCTCCAATTTGACGCCCTCAGCTGCCAGCCGGTCTAGCGTAGGGGTCTCGATATCTGAACCATGGTAGCCCACGTCGTGATAGCCTTGGTCATCGGTGAGGATAAAGATGATGTGGGGAGGCTGGGATGGATCGGCTGAGGGCTGCTCCGCGGTAGCTTCTCCTGGCCCATCGGCCAGTAGGCTAGGCTGGGTCCAGTCCCAGGACAAGTAGCCAAAGCTGAGCAAGCTGACCAACGAGAAGCCGGTGAGGGCGTGCATCGCCAAGCTGGTCCGCGCTTCACGGCGCGCAGGGCTCCTCTGGCCTCACCGCTTCACGCGCCCAGGGCGCACGACCTGGCTGCCCGCCTGCTGGCCGGCCAGGACGCTGCGAGAGCGCTCAGAGACCCGAGGGCAGCCCAGTGGCTTTTCCTGGACTGGTGGCTAGACGGCGGGGGCCCAGCCCTGAGCGGTCGCTGCGGGGCGCTCTGGGGAGGCCAGGCCCGCTCCAAGCTGCCTCCCGCCACCCAAGTGCCCGCCCTGCGCCCCTCTCACTCCCTTGTCCCTCAGCTCAGCCAGGCCAGTCAGACACGCAGCTTGGTGGCTTCCAAAAAGTGCTCTCCACCATCCTCTTCCTAGCCTCTTCTTCTAACCCCGGATTTCTCCCGCTCCTAATTTCTCTCGCCTCGCCTTTCCCTTTCTCCTCCCCCCACGACCCTCCACCGCCCCCCCCCTTCCACCCGCGCGCCCCAGGCTCGGCCTCTAGCCCCGCCTGGAGTCCTCAGAACAGGGAGGACTCCCCGCAGAGAGGCGGGCAGGACCCCACCGAAGAACGAGAGAGAGGCACGGGTTGGGCTGGTTTAGGGTGGGGGACACCGCGAGAGAGAATGAGAAAAAGTTGTAACATCTGCCGGCCGAGCCCCAGGTGGAGGGGTGGGACGCCGAGCAGCGGCTCCGCCCCCCGGGCGGGAAGCCCAGGCCTGCGGGTCCCGCTGGCTCCTGTCCCCGCCCTGGCCGGCACTGGGGAAGAGGGAGCGGCGGCGTTGCTTGTAATTAATTAGATGGAACTGCTCCGGTGTTTCCTGGACAGAGATTCCTAGATCATGTAGTGCTAACATTCCCAACTGCTAATCCAGCCTCGTAGGAGAATGTCTTGGTGATCTGCTCCCATCAAGATTACAGCCTAGAAAAGAAAGCCCTGTAGGGGAGTTCTATTCTGGCATATGGGGTCGCTATGAGTCAAAATCCACTGGGAGACACAAATTAATAACAAGCCCTAGAAGAGACGGCTAAATTTTCAACCAGGGATTCCACAGATGGAGAAACAGAGACCCTGAGATGGGTGGGAACTACCCAAGTCACAGAGGTGGTGACTTTCCTCTGTGGGTCAGTACAGGCAATAGGGAGAATGGAGAAGGCTTTGTCAAGCACCAGGACTTGGAAATCCAGAAGTTGGGGCTTGCCAGCTCCCTACATCTCAAATCCTCCCTACGCTGAGCAATTCACAACTAGAGTTTTAGAATGTCTATGCTGGAATCCAGAGGGCAGGCACTGTTATATACACCTATCTATACCCACAGGGTTCAGCACACAGTAGAAACTCATTCAGTAGCCTTTGCATGAATAAATGGGTGATTGGGCTTTGGGGACCAGTCTGGCCAACCCAAGAAAACCTCCAGGTCAGAGAAAGAAAGTTTTGGGGCTCTGGGTCAGGCAAGTATAAATGAGTAAAAGGGGTGGGGTGGGGGCAGTTGTATTATTGCTATAAAGAGGCTGGGGGTGGGATGCAGAGAGGGGGGCTGCAGTGAGCTACAGACTACAAGCCTTGTTCCCAGTTGACCACTGCCACGCAGAATATGGATCAGAATTATTAGATCTTCTGAGTTCTTTTCCAGAAGTATCCCAACCCAGATTACTATGAGAAATAATTAAGTGTTTGTAACTAATTTACAACAAAATTTAAATACTGTGCAGGCCAAATCAAACCTATTTATGAGGCCATTGGGTGCCAATTTGCATCTTCTGCTTTGTATCAGTGTTTTCCAGAAACTTACCAGTCTACACTTTTAAATGGAGGGTAATGATTTTCAGTGGTAGAAGTCTTGCCTTAAACCCAGGTTCAATTCTCAGCCAATGCTCCTCATGTTAGTGGAGGCCAATACACCCATCTCTCAGTGGAGGCCTTCACATGACTTTGAAGCTGAGCAGGTTTCAGCAGAGTTTACAGACTAAGACAGATTAAGGGGAAAAAACCTGGTGGTTCACATCCAAAAATCCGCCGATTAAAACTCTATGGAGCACAATGGTCCAATAAGCAACCAATCAAGGGAATGGCGTGTTTCATTCTGTTGTACATGGGGTCACCATTAGGCAAGGGTTGACTTGTTGCTGTTGTTGTTAAGTGCCATGGAGTCGGTTCTGTCTCATAGCAGCCCTGTATAGGGTTTCCACGGAGTGACTGGTGTGTTTGAACTGACACCTTTCAGTCCAGTGCTTTATCCTACAGCGCCATACCAGAACTCCAAGGGCTGACTAAATGGCAGCTAATAATAACATACTCTTTTAAATGGGAAAATTGGGTTAAATAAAATCAGTTAGATTTCTTTCCTACAAGAATTTCTTCAACTGTTTAACATGTACATTGCTGACCTCCAAAAGGGAGGTTGGCAAAGCTGTATTTCCTGATTGCATGTAGCCAAGGACCCTCTTTCCCACAAAGCTGCTTTGGGAACCTGTGGGCAGCCTTTCTGCTCCTGATGCTGCCCAGGTATGTCTTGTCTCTTAGTAGCTTGCCTCCCCCCCCTCCCCCGAGTATTCTGTAGTATTCTGTAGTAATTCCTTCCCACTGACTTCAAGCCACCGTGTGGGGGAAAAGAAACCAGATTTCTAAAATAGCAGCCTGCATTTTGAAATGAGGGCTGAATGGGGCCAGCCACTCCTGTTTTCTCAAAGCCCCATATTTAGGGTGACCAGATTTATCAAGAGGGAAAATTGAGCCTGTTGTTCTGGTAGAAGAAATATGAGGACAGGCAGGAAAAAGACAGCCTTTTGAGGAAAATGCTACTAAAATGGTGCTTCCGGAGGCTTCAACTCGAAGCTATCCTGGGGTCAACGAGGTACAAGTCTCCTGAGGTCAGATGGACTTGAGCTTTGCGTTCTCTGTAGTGTTGGAGACATAGGTCAGGAGGAAGTGAACAGGGCCGCCATGCACATGGGTGGGAGTCATCCAGGGGCTGTGTCACAGGAAGAAATAGCGAAGGGACTGTGCTGGGATTCAGCCAGGATGAGAAAAGCCTGGGGAAGACAGCAGCACAGTCTACAGAAGATCTCTGCGGGGCTGTCATGGGAACAAGAAAGGCAGTGTTTCAGAGTCTGCTGTCAACGACTTGAGGCATCCTGCCACTTATTTGGGATCTGGCCTTGGACAAGTAATTTCCCCTCTCTCAGCCTGAGTTTCTTCATCTGTAAAATGGGATAATAATATAAATGAGATATAGCATAGTGCCCTCAGAAAGTAAGCCCTCAATAAGTGTGAACTGCTATTATAACTGTTGTTTGTGGTTTTGAAGAGGAAGGACTAAGTCCTGTGGGTGAATGTTACTGAGAGACAGATTTCAAGCATTACATGTAGGAAATTTGGCAGCTTGCTTAGTGAAAGGATGGCAGTGATGGGTGAATCACTGTGTGGAGAAGAGTGGGTGGACCTCTCAGGCCGACTCTTGCTCCCAATATGCACATTTCTTTTAAGAGTCTCTTGTTAGTCACAGTGGTCTGGGAGGGGGCACCCATGATTCCCTGCTAACTTTCTCAGGAAGTAAACACTGACCCTCAACTTTAATGCCCTTGCACAGCTGAACTAGGCTGGAATATTTAAACCAGCCATTTCCAAATGCTCAGGGTTAGACAAGGAGGAAGCCAACACAAAGAGTACTATGAATCTAGGTTTGTCAGTCCCACATATCTGTTAGTTTGTCGTACTGTGGTGACTTGTGTGTTGCTGGAAGCTATGCCACTGGTGTTTCAAATACCAGTAGGGTCACCCATGGTGGACAGGTTTCAGTGGTGCTTCCAGACTAAGACAGACTAGGAAGAAGGAATAGGTGGCCCATTTTTGAGGGATTAGCCACTGAAAATCTTATGAATAGCAGCGGGACCTTGTCTAATATAGTGCCAGAAGATGAGCCCATCAGGTTGGAAGACACTCACATATGACTGAAGAAGAGTTGCCTCTTCAATATAGTAATTGTTGCTGTTCCTACTTATAGCATGTATAGGGTTTCTCAGGAGCTGGTGGGTTTGAACTGCTACCTTTGTGGTTACTAGTCAAATCCTTAACCTAAAGCACTACACCAGGACTCCTCTCAAACTAGAATTGACTTTAATGACATGGATAGAGCTTTTGAGACCTTCATTTGCTGATGAGGCACAACTCAAAAAACAGAGAAAACAGCTATAAAAATCCATTGATAATCAGAACGTAGAAGGTATGAAGTATGAGTCTAGGAAGTTGAAGTCATCAAAAATTAAATGGAACACATAAAAATTGGTATCTGAGGTATTAGTGAGCTGAAATAGATGGGTATTGGCTGTTTAAAATAAATCATATAGATTACTGTGCTGGGAATGAATGACAAATTCAGAAGGAATATTGTCACATTCATTGTCAAAAAGAACATTTCGAGATCTATTAAAAAGTACGATGCTATCTTTGGTGTCCTGGTGTGGCACTGCAGGTTAATGTGCTGGACTGCAAAGTCAGTTTGAACCGCCAGGTTGGCGGGTTAAGCTCACCAGCCGCTCCTCGGAAACCCTATACAGGGTTGCTATGAGTTGGAACCGACTTAACGGCACTTAACAATACCAATCTATGACAGGACAATATTAATATGCCCACAAAGAAAACTAGTAAATACCACTAGTATTCAAACTTATGTACCAATCACCAAAGCCAATGATGAAGAAATTGAAGAATTCCACCAACTTCTTTAGTCTGAAATTAATCAAACATGCAATCAAGATGTATTGATAATTACTGGCAATTGGAATGTGGAATTTGGAAACAAAGAGGAAGGATCAACAGTTGGAAAATATGGCCTTGGTGATAAAAATGATGCAGTAGATCACATAATATAATTTTGCAATGACTTATTCATTGTAAAAACCTTTTTTCGACAACATAAAAGGTGACTATACACATGGGCCTCACCAGATGGAATACACAGGAATCAAATTGATTACATCTGTGGGAAGAGGTGATGGACAAACACAATAGCATCAGGCAAAAAAGGCCAGGAGAAGGCTGTGAAACAGATCATCATTGCCTATATGCAAGTTCAG